GCTGCAGCGCTTCTTCGAAGGTGAGCGCCGCGCCGCGCGGGACCTCCTGCACCGGCCTGGGGACCCGGCTCCCCGCGCCCAGCAGGCGGCGACCCCGTCCCCCGCGGCAGGGACCCGGAGGCCGGGACCTCCCTTGAGACTGCTCCCTCCCCGGCGCTGGGACCGAGACCCGGACCCCTTTTGAGACGGTCCCCAACTTGAGGCTGGGACCCTCGAGACGGGAACCCTCTGGGAGACACCCCGGCGCCGAGACCCCCCTTTGAGACTGCCCTCCTGGCGGTAGGACCCTCGAACTCCCTTTGAGACTGGCCCCCACCTGGGGCTGGGACCCCCACACAGCGCCCAGAGATGGGTCCTGCTGCTCCCCGCACAGAGCCGCGCACAGCGCGTCTGCTCTGACCCGGCACGGGGCTGTGCCCCAGACCTGTCCCCGGCGCCTCCTCCCGCGGAGTGACCGCCCCTCGCCTTGACCTGAGTGAGCCGGCTGGGGCGGGACCTTGCACACCCCAGGTGCTGGTGTCGGGGTCTGCCCTGTGTCTCACCACCTACCCCGCTTTCCCCGCTCCCCCGTGCTGGGGCGCAGAGAAGTCAGACTCCCTCTCCCAGCCCCACCACCTCTCAGACCCCCACCGGGCCTCTGACCAAGCCCTTGGCCCTTTGTGTCCCTCCCTGCTGTCTTGGGGAGCCGCTACCCTCACTCTCTAAGCCTACATCCTGCTCCCCCATCCCAGCAGCCTGCCTCTGGGCACACCATGCCAGGGCTGTGGGGCACGTCCCTGGGCAAGAGAAGAAGGCCTTCCTGCCTTGGTTTCCCCATCCAAGTGACTTGGGAACTAGCGGGGCAAGGGCATCTCACACACTGTCTGCCCCAGGATGCCTGGCACCCCGTAGAGCCAGGTCCCAAGGCGCCAGGTGCAGATGAGGTCAAGCAGTCTGTACTGGGGTAGTGGGGCCATTTGGGGGTGCAAGGGACCCCCCATCAGCCCTGGGCCCTCGTTCCCCACACTGTTTATCATCCATGGGGGGGTTCTGGAGGTTGGGGTTCCCGGGGGAGGGGAAGAGACACAGGTCCTCCCCCAGGGTACCGTTAGGGGGCCTGCTAGGTGACCCTGTGACCTGTGGCCAGGCCACTCTTCACCCCTCCTTCCCAAGACCCTGGCCAAACCTCCTGTCCTGGCTCTGGGTGGGGGTGGGGGCTGACGCCACAGCTTAGCCATGCGCTGCCTGGCAGGGAGGCTGCAGCTCCTCCAGAGATAAGAGGAGCTGAAGAATGTGGTGGGGAGCAGGGCAGGGTGCGGCGCCCGCCCAGGAGCTCCAGGAGAAGTCTCCAGAGCCCTCGGTGGGGGGGACCCAGAGCCGGGGTCTCTGGACCCTGGGAGAGGAGGTGTGAAGGGGATCTGGCTGGGGTGGCGGCGTGGGGTCCCAGGCTGGCTGACAGAGCCCCGAGCACAAGGGCACAGTGGGCCAGGCAGGCAGCTGGGCTTTGGGATCTGGGCACGTCCTTCTCGGCCTCCTCCTGGTCCCCGCGTGGCCTCGGCGTGCACCCTGGACAATGGCAGAGGCTCTGGGCTGGCAGGAAGCTGGGAAGGGCTCTGACACGTGCCTGTACGCTGGTCCTGTCCTGGGGGTGCTGGCTGGGGGCTAAGGCGCTTTGTGCCCAGGTGGGAGGCTGGTACAGTGGCCCCCGTGACTGCCCGCTAATCCCCGCGAGAGAGGCACCAGCAGCACAGCTCTCGGGCACAGGGCCTGTGGAGAGGGGACCCGCCGGCAGGATGCACTGGCTGCCACCAGGTAACTGGTCTTGCTGGCAGGTGGCCTCCTCACCGGCTGCCTGCTGGGCCGTGGACCCCCACAGCCGGGTCGGGGACAGGCAGGGCAGCACTGGAGCATCCGGCTGGGACCTGCAAGGCCCTACAGGGTGGCTGCAGGACGCTCTGCGACCCGTGCAGAGCCCTTGCTTCTCTGGGTTCTGTGCTGCCCTGCCGGACAGGAACAGGTGGTAGAAGAGGTGCCCATGATGCCAGGGAAGGGCGACATTGTAGAGGGCGAGGCTGGGCCCAGAAGCGGGTGGGGGAGCAGCCCGGGTTCTGGGGAGCAGCCCGCTGGCCCAGAAAGCAGGCAGAGCAGAAGTGGAGGCAGCTGGAGCCTTGGGCCTGGGGCGGGGCTGTCAGCGATCTGAGAGAGGGGCCTTGCAGCAGCAAGATCTGGGTCCAGCTGCCGTGGCGTAGGTGGCTCTGGGACCCCTGTCTGTCTGTGCCCCCGGGGACAGGGCTGGATTGGGAGGAGGCAGCCAGGCTTTCTGACCCCCGTCTGGGGAGGAGAGGAGGGTTCTCCTGAGGCCGCCAGCACCAGCACCCCCAGACCCCTGTCCCACACTGGGCAAGGACACGGCAGCATGGGTCCCACTCGCCTCCCGCAGGGCCGGGAGCAAGGGGTGGCGGGAACGTGCCCGGTCAGTGGAAGCCAGAGTCGATATCCGGGCAGAGGCCTGGGTACATCGCATGCCTACCGTCACCACAGGCCTCTCCTGGTCTGGGGCTGCACAGCGTGCCCTGGGGTCTTGGGCAGCCCCCAGAGGCCTCCTTCCTGGGGACCCGGCCCCCTTCCCACTCCCAAGGGGTTCCAGCCTCTGGCCGCGGGCCGCTGGGTGGCAGCCCATGGGTGCCCATTGGTTGCTGCCCTCGGACTTTGCCCTCCTGATAAGTGCAGAACAGGAATCATTAACTGAATCATTAACCAGCTGCTGCCCCGCCCAGCCGCCCCGTTTCCACCTTCCTCCCCTTGCTTGGGCCCAGCACACCGCGCTGGGCCTCAGTTCCCCACAAGGCCCCGGAGGCTGGGTATGGGCTGGGGCCTGGCGGTCTCTGGCCAGGGCCAGAGGGCGAGGAGTGGCTTTGTGCAGCAGTCTCTGTGCACCCTGCACTCCTGTTCCCGACTGTAAAATGGGAACACGGCCACAGGGCCGGTTGGTGCCCACTTCTTGGGCGGCTGTGGGACCGTAAGACAGTGCCTGGCCTCTCAGCCTCCATCCGGGGTCGTCCCTTCCAGGGCAGGTGCCACATGCCCCACCTAGGCAGTCCGCTCCGCAGGTCCTGGACGCCCAGCCTGGGCGGGGCTCTGTGTTCTGGGAAGGCCCGGGCCGGCTCTGGTCCAGATTCCAGGGCGGTGGGAACTGGAAGCTGGCTGTGTGCAGGGCCTGGGCTGGGTCAGGCCTGGTCCCCAGCCCATCCCACAGGCCCTCCCTCCACCTGGGAGAGGGGGACTCACACCTCCTGCTCCCTGGACAGGGCAGGGCTTGGTCCTCCGTGGATGGCAGGTGGTGACTGTTTCCCAGGGCAGAGCTGACATGTGGGCTCACAGGGGGTGGCTGCAGGGAGCTGGCCTGGGGTCCTGGGTGACCGAAAGGTGCTGCCAGGTTGGCAGGGCGTGGGTCCTGATGCAGGCTGAGGCCACCTTGTCTGGCCAAGGCTGTGCGACGTGAGCAGTGGCCCTTCACGGCGTGTGCTGGGACCTTCCACAGGGCAGCGGGCCTGCATCGTCTGCTGTCTGACCTCAGAGCCGCAGGCCGGCCTGGCCCAGACCCGGGCCTGCCGGGAGCTCCCTGCAGGAGCGGGCTGCCCACGGGGGCGTGCAGGGTGCACAGTGCACTGTGTGTGTGTCACTGCATCGGCTGGTGGGGCTGCCCGACCACCGTGGCTCCAGACCAAGCAGAGGTGCCTGAGCGCCAGCCTGCGGCAGCCACCCTCTGCCCTCTTGGGCTGGTTCGAGAGCATCTGGGGGCTGTGGGCTCGGTGTGTGCGATCAGAGGGTGGTGTGGCAGCCTGGGGTCCCTGCAGGCTGCGCGTGGCCCTTGTGTGTGTGTGCTGTGAGGCTGGGCGGGAACAGAGAGCCGGGGCCCAGGTCAAGGACCTAAGGAACGGAGCCGCTGAGCTCCAGAGAACTGGGTGCGGAGATGCAGGGGGCGCCGCTGAGCACCCGCCCTGCAGGCGCTGTGGGTGAGGGGGGCGCGGATCACACCGCCGCAAAGTGGGGTTCCCAGTGGAAGCCAGGCCCCTCTAAGCCCAGGGCCTTCTCTCCAGGCCCGTGACGATGCCAGGGCAGGCAGGGGCTGACCCCACTCTACCTGCAGCCAGGACACCCCAGGTCAGACACCTGGCAGGGATGCTGGGGGATGGGCGTGGGCCCCATCCGCCCACGTTCATATCACCCAGCCTGGCCAGCATCCTCGGGCCTGGCCCACCCTGTTCGCAGCCACGTGGCTGACGGGGTTTCCGCCATGTTTGGGGCATGAATTGACAAGCGCCCCATTGACGGGGCAGGGAGGGGGTGGGCAGGGCACAAGCCTCCCACTGTGCCACATCCCCACCCTCCTGGCCCCTGGGACAATGGCCGAGACTCAGCCAGCAGCCACAGCTGGTGGGGGGTGGGAGGGAGGGGTTCGGGCGGAGGGACACCTGGGTCCCCGCCTGTCGCATCCTGCACCTGGCTCCTCTCCTGCCTGGCAGGGTGGTCTCAGGGTGAGGAGCAGCGGGGCACAGGGCCCACAGCCCACAGCCCAGACCCCTGCCCTCTGGCCAAGCCGGCATCTGGCTCCTGTCCAGAGCAGGTAATAAAGGGCCGTCAAGGGTGAGGGGCCGGGCCTGGCCTGCCGGAAGACCCTGATGCTGCCGGCCTGGCCGCTGTCCCCATGTGCCAGGGTCACACTCATCACACAGACAAGTGCCGCGCGCCTACTCTGTGCAGGGCACCTGCATCTCGCAAGAAGGCATGTAGCTGGCTCCATCCCTGGGAGCCATGGCACGTGCCCCTCAACCTGCAAAATGGAAAGGGAAGCCAGCTGGCCTGTGCCTAGGCAGGAGGGGATGGAGCCTAGGCCACCTAGAGGCCTTTCCTGCCGAGCTTTGGCCTGTGCAAGGCCAGCCTGGGCAGGGCTGTGGGGGGGTGCTGGTCTGGGCAGGGGTGGCCACGCTGGGGCTGAGGTGCCAGGGACTGGGTCCGTCCTGGGCCCGGGAATGGTGCAGGGCTGGAGGTGGGGCAGGGAGGGCACAGAGATGCGACTCTGTGACCTTGCGCCTGTGCTGCCTCCTGGGGGGGGGGGCTCACCCTGCCCCTCCCGGGAGCCCCGAGGCTCTGAGGGAGACGCAGCTCTTCCAGCAGTGTAGACCAAGGCCTCTTTGGCCAGCAATGCAGGGCAACCTCAAGAATGTACCCCAGGTCCAGGGGCCCCCGTTTCTTGTGGCTTGGTGGGGCTGCTGCTGGTGGCTGGACCCTCGGTGTGCGGCGAGGGGGGTGGCCCAGGCAGGCTGAGGGCTCCTGGGCAGGTAGGCGGGGTCTGCACCCTGGGCCTGTGCGCCCCCTCCCCCACCCTGCTTGCCGTCCCTGGCACCGAGGGTCCCACCTCCCCCAGCCACATCTGGTTCTCGTTAGGGTCTCCCATCCCCTCGAGCCCGGGGGGAGGTGGGCAGGAGGATTAGGGTGATTAGGAGCTCCTGGCGGAGGAGGGGAGGAGGGGCGGCCCGCCATGACCGTGTGGCCAGCCTCGTCCATGGTGGGCTCCAAGTTCAGCCTCCAGCTGCGCTGTCCCTGCCCTGCCAGCCCCACAGGGCCCCTGCCTCCGAGGCTCTGGCCTGGCCTGAGTTTTGCCTCGGGCTGTGCTGCTTGGGTGAGAGGCAGCCGCTCTGGCAGTGAGTGCCACCCCAATGCCAAGTTCAGGGGAGACGGGGAGGAGCCGCAGGAGCACTGTCCCAGCCACGTCGCTCCATCATCCCTGCAGGTGGCGGGATCGACACCTGCCCGGGAGGAAGCGCCACCGAGGGGCTGCACAGGATCAGCCCCGTAGCTGCCACAGCAGTCCTGGCACACAGCAGGCACTCCCTCTGCGGGCACTGTGGCTGGGGGTCATCTGTGGCTCTGGGGCTCCTTGTCCTTGGACCGGACCAGGCTGGGTGGGTGTCCGTGGCAGCAAGTGGGGGTAGCTGGGGGCCCTGGCCTGTCGCAGGCGCGTGACTCCTGGGAGGGCTTAGCTGCTCATTAATCACCTAAGCGGGGCTCAGCATTCTTGAAATGCCGGCCCGGGCCAGGGAGCGGCCAGGGCCGGGGGCTCCGCGGACCCTGGGCTGGGCTGGGGAGCCAGCACGCACTGTGGCAGGCACTGCAGAGCCGGCCCCACTCTCCTCACGGGGAGACCGAGGCTCAGAGAGGGCGTGTCCTGCCCAACCTCACAAGGCAGGGAGGTGCAAGCCGGCTCCGTTCCCAGAGCTGGTAGGAGGGTCCCTCCTGCCTTCCTGGAGACAGCCAGCCCAGGTCAGTGCGTGGGAGGGACCGTCCTACATTATCAGGGTGACGCATCTCCTACGTCAGCCCCCTTATCACCCCGCCTTCAGGCTCCCCCCACAAGGTGACCCTGGGAGGGGAAGGCAGCACCACCTCCCTGCCCTCAGGATGCCCAGGGGCCTGGGCACTGCTTTGAGCCCTCCCTCATGGGCCAGGGCCAGCGGACGGGTGCAGGCGTGGGCGCAGGCACAGGGTAGAGCCAGAGCCCTCATCCCCTGGGCGAGCCAGGCCCTGCCTCCTGGGGACACGGGGACAGTGGGCTGTCCATGGAGCACTGTGGGGCGTTGGCCAGGCGCTACTGTACCCGCCTCCCCAGAGCCAGGGTGCCTGTGGCTCCCCGAGGCCCTGGACTCCCAGGATGTGTGTGCTCACCTGGCCAGGCTCTGTCTCCCTGGAGGATGGGGCAGGACGGTCCCTGCCGGGTCCCGGCCCCGTAAGTAAAGCACCTCAGTGCTCCTCCCAGCATGCAAAGCTGGGGCTGGGAGCCAGTGTCTCAGATGACAGCCCTGGCCAGCTCTGGCCTCGTGTCTGGGCAGGGGGGCGAGAGTGACCTCCCTGTCCCCAGATCCACACCCTGCTGCTGTCCAGTTGCCTCCTTGGGCTAGGACACATCGCGCAGCCTGGAGGGCCACGTGGGAGACAGCAAAGGCCCCTGGGAGGGCAGGCGGTGGGCGGGGGTCCCCAGGGAGCCTGCCCAGCTGTGGCCTCCCTGCAGGCCACGACATCAACGGCGCTCTGGAGCCATCCAACATCGACACCAGCATCCTGGAGGAGTACATTGGCAAGGAGGACGCGTCTGACCTGTGAGTGGCCGGGAGCCGGGAGCCCCGCTCGCCCCTGCCGCCCCTGCCGCCCCGGTTGGCCGCTGAGCCTCCTCCCTCTCTGCAGCTGCTTCCCTGACATCTCCGCTCCCGTCAGCTCGACCTCCTACCCGCACTCGCAGCCTGCCGCCCCCGGCTCCAGTGGGGGACCCTCCCCAGGGCGCCACGGCCCCCTCCCGCCCCCGGGCTACGGCGCCCCACTCAACTGTAACAACAACAATGGCCTGGGTGCTGCCCCCAAGCCCTTCCTGGGGGGCTCTGGGCCGCCCATCAAGGCTGAGCCCAAGGCGCCCTACGCCCCAGGGTGAGTTGGGTGGGCAGTGGGGGGGGAGGGCATGTGTGGGGCACAGGGGATGACACGGGCATTGGTCAGTGAGCTGTCTTCTGAAGGCCCCGCCCCACCCCACCTCTGAGGGACAGTTAGCTTTGGGCAGCCTGCGAGCCCCGTTGCCTCGGCCCCAGTCGAGGTCCCAGAGAAGCAGCGTGGGGTGCTGGGTAGGTAGGTGACGGCCGCCACACATGCTCAGCTTTGGGGGGCGGGCGGGGCCGGGCTCAGGGTGTGAGGACAAAGCCATGCTGAGGGAGGTGGGCTGCCGGAAGGCCTGGTGCTGGGCTGCGGCCCCCTGCGCGAAGGGGATGGGCGAGCACTCGCAGCTTGGCGAGGCCAGGGCCCTACCCGGCGGCTGATCCTGGTGCCTCCAAGAGGTGGGGCTCATGCAGGGCCCAGGCCTGCTCCCCACTCCGCTCGCTGTGAAGACCAGGTGCGGCCTGCGGCTCCCTGGAGCAGGGGTGCTCAGCGTGCTGCACCCCCAGCTGGGACGTGGGTCCCCGGGCTCCTCTGCAACAGCACATGCACCCAGGGCCCCAGCCAGCACTGCAAGAAGAGGAGCCCAGGGCTTGTGGGAGAACAGGTCCCGGTCTGGCCCTGGCCCTGGGCTGGCACTGCAGGTGTGAACGGCCTTGATTCAGCCCCACAGCTGTGGCAGGGAGCACTGGCCGGTGCTCTGTGCCTGAGGCGATGGCGAGGGCTGCGGCCAGGTCCCCATCCACTTTCTCAGCCTTCTTCACCAAGCCTCATTTCAGGGTCCACATTCTCTATTTTAGTATTTTCAGTACTGGGGATTGAACTTTTGCCCTGAGCTGCATCCCCAGCCCTTTTTATTTCTTATTTTGGGACAGGGTCTCACTAAGTTGCTAAATTGTGCAGGCTGGCTGGACTCAAACTTGCAGTCCTCCTGCCTCAGCCTCCCAGAGTGCTGGGACGACAGGCAGGCGGCACTGCACCCAGCTTCAGGGTCCATCTCTTGAGTTGGTTCCTTAGCTCCAGACACAAGGTATAGAGAGCACTTCCCAGTCCTTGTCACGGCCTAGAAAATTTGTATTTGTGATTCCATGAAAAGTTATTGGAATTCTAGTGAGTTAACTTCAACCTACCACTTCCAGTGCAACCCATGGCGAGAATAAAGACACTAATGGGGAGCCCAGGGGCCCTAAGTCCAGCCATGATGATGCCATCCAGAACAAAGGCCTCCACCCAAGGCTGAACCTGGGTTTTATTCATTCATGAAGAAGGGAGTGCTTGAGGATGAGTGACTGTAAGAGTGGCAGGAAGTAACGTGAGTGCTGAGCTGGGCGAGGTAGGAGGCCTGAAATTACCTCTGCAAATGCAGAAAAGGATCTGCAGAAAGAGTCATCTGCATAACTCAACTGAGATAGTGTCTAATGTTTTGGGGTCGGTGCTTCAGCTCTGGTGGGTAATCTTCGAAGCCCCAGGAAGTCAGAGCCTCCATCTCAAGGCTGGGATCAAGGAGGCTTGCTTCCAGCAGACAGCACTGGCTCACACATCCCCCCTCACCCCAGCTCACTTAGGGAGCCACAGGATCAGGGAAACACGCCTGCCATCTCCAAAGGTTACCATTTTAAAGCCAGTTGAAGGGAAAAGGAAAAGTCCTAGCCAGCTCAGTACATATCAATACGTGGAAATAGGGTCAGGCTCAGCCCTCTTTTAAGGAGAGTCACCTAGGTGGTCCTCCACAACAAGGCAGGTGTGTGACCTGTCCAGGGACACTGGGATGCTGGAATTGGTCCCAGGCTGCATGCAGAAGGCTTGGTGGCCTTTCTGGCAGTTAGTGGCCACCACAGAAGGGACTCTTTCTGGACAAGAGGCAGATAGCCACAGCGCTGGACCCTGTGTGGCCACGGCCTTCCCCTTGCTGGGCGGGCACAGGGCTCATGTGCAGGACATGCTGACCTCTGGGGCTTGAGTTTGTTCTTTCTCGCGAATCACTGATAAACAAAACTGGCAAGAAAAAAATCAGCCAGGCCCTGCACAGCTGGTGCCCTGCCAGGCCCACACCTGCCTCTGGGGGGCAGCTCTACAGCCTGCTGGCCCCAAGACCCCTGGACCTCCAGGAGGCTGCTGGCATCATTAAGGGACCCGGATCCTGGCCACAGTGACTGTGGGGGCTGAGGGCGGGAGCCCCAAGAACCCCACCCATGCTTCTGCCCCAGGGCTTGCTGATCACCCCAAGGTGGGCGGCGCAGAGGGATGGCACTTGGGCGGTGTGTGGAGCCTCCGGGGGTCTGGGCCGCCCTGGGGCACTGGCAGCTCGAGACCCAGCAGTCCCTCTGGCCCCACAGCATGCTGCCCGACTCACCCCCCGACTCGGGCTCCGAGGCCTACTCCCCCCAGCAGGTGAACGGTGAGTCCGGCGCCCAGGCTGCCTCCCGGTTGGTTCGGGCGAGTGGTTGGGGCTGGTTGGGGCGGCCTTATCGGAGGGCGGGCGGGAGGCGGGGTGGAGGGGCCAGGGCTGCCCAACGGCGAGATTATCGCTGGTCAAATACTCCCCAGCCTGGCTATTGTTTCCCCACGAGGGCGGGTGGGGAGCTGGGCCCTGTCTCCGGCCAGTGTCCCCCACTGGGGATGCCACCCTCCCGACCGCCCGCGCCATCATGGACGCATCTTTCGGCGGTAAGTGGACTCCAGGGAGGGCCCGGCACAGGCCCACCGGCCTTCCTTCCTTCCGGGTACGCAGGGACACAGCGGCCCCCAGGTGGCCAGGCGCAGAATGACCCTGGCAGCTGGAGAGGGGTCAGGAGTTGTGTTTATCTTACCAAACATGCCTGGAATGCCTGCCAGGAACAAAGGGGGCTGCAGGCTCCTTTGGGGGGTGGGCAGGGGAGCCAGGCTTCTGGGGCACTGTCAGGACTGGGCTTCTTGGGGTAGGGTTTCCTTGAGGTGGGGCTGAGGGGGGCTGGGGGATGTGGGAGCCTCCAGGGTGGGGCATGGGTGCTGGCCCTGCCCGCCCGAGTGAGGGTCTCCCCTTCCTGCCTGCTCCAGTGGCTGGAAGCAGCAGGCTGGCCTGGGGAAGGACATGGCCACGCCAACCCCCTTCTCTCCCGCAGACCCCCGGCTCCTGCGCACCATCACCCCGGAGAGCCTGTGCCACGCGGGGGTGCCCTCCCGCCTGGAGCACCCACCCCCGCCCCACTACCCAGTCCTGCAGCGGGACCTGTACCTGAAGCCTGAGCCACCCCTCCCACCCTATGCCGCCATGGGCCAGGGGCTGGTGCCCGGCGAGCTGCACCACACCCAGCAGCCACAGATGCTGCACCAGCTGCTGCAACATGGAGCTGAGTGAGGCCCGGGGCGGTGCGGGGGGAGGGGGCGGGCAGCAGCTAGGGCGCAGCTAGGGCACAGCCACGCTGACTGCTGTATGGATGGGCAAACGGGTCCTGACGGAGTGCTGGGAACGAGCCAGTCTTACATCTGTTTTTCTATTGAAATTTCATCACCAAGCCAGGCATGGTGGCTCATGCCTGTGATCCCGGCGCTTGGGAGGCTGAGGCAGGAGGATCACCATAAATACAAGGCTAGCCTGGGCTTCCTAGTGAGACCTTGTCTCAAAAAAAAAAAAAAATCTTTCTTCTTCAATTTGGTTCAAGGAAAGATGCTTCTGTCAAAACTTGTAGACGTAAGGGAGGTCCCCCGCCCCAGCCTGTGTGGCCCAGGCCTCTGAGGCCGGACCTCCGAAGGAAGGACCCCCTGTGTGCTGGGCCCTGGGCAGGGGTAACAGGGCACAGAGCGGGTCCCAGACTCTGTGGTTGTGGGCAGGGGAGTGAGACAGTGTGCCCATGGCACCCCACAGAGGGGTTCTCTGGGCCAGGATGGGCTGGGCACTGCCCAGGAGGGGTCAGGAGAGCCGACCCCATGGCGATGCCTGTGTCCCCCCAGACTGCCCACACACCCCTCCAAGAAGAGGAAGCACTCTGAGTCGCCCCCCAACACCCTCAACGCACAGATGCTGAATGGCATGATCAAGCAGGAGCCGGGGACCGTGGCCGCGCTGCCCCCGCACCCAGCCAGAGCCCCGTCCCCGTCCTGGCCCCCGCAGGGCCCCCTGTCCCCGGGCCCCAGCTCCCTGCCCCTCAGCATCGCCCGGGCGCAGACCCCACCTTGGCACCCGCCCGGGGCGCCCTCCCCAGGTACTTGGCCGGCCAGCCCTGGGAGCGGGGAGCAGCCGAGCCCTGGCTACATGGGTGTCCCCCGCAGGTCTCCTACAGGACAGCGACAGCCTCAGTGGCTCCTACCTGGACCCCAACTACCAGTCCATCAAGTGGCAGCCCCATCAGCAGAACAAGTGGGCCACTCTGTACGATGCCAACTACAAGGAGCTGTGAGTCCCTCGCAGCCCCCGCTGGGAGCACCTGTCTTACTTGGGAGCGGGGACCCTCAGACTCCCCAGTGAGGCAGTGTGTGTCCGGAGGGCCCTGGGCCGGTCAGGAGGAAGTGGCCATGTGGCCTCGGGCTCCTCCTTCCCTCCTCCACCTGCACCTCCCCTGCATTCCAGGAAGATGGCAAAGCCCAGGCACTGGGCCCTGCCCACAGCCTGGGCCCTGCCAGGAGGAGGGCGGGGAGCACTGGCAGAGGTTTTCCCCGGGTATTGCTGGCCCTGCCCCAACCCCCAGGTCGAGGGGGGACCACTCCCCTGCTCCCTGGAGGGCCCAGTGGGGGAGAGGGCAGCTGGCTCCTGCTCCTTTGGACAGTGCCAGCCCTGGGTGAGATGCTGCTGGGCTTGGCAACCTGGGCACGATTCCCAGCGGGAAGCCCCCAGACCCAGCTGGGGGTCCAGCAGCAGTGCCGTGTAGGCGACCCTTGAAGTGGGACCGGGTAGGCTGTCCTGGTGGAGCCAAGCCAGCTGCCCAGGCCAGGGGCCAGGAACCCGAGTGAGCGGCCTCCCCCGGGCTACTTCCTTGCTGTCCTGCTAGGGCCGTGGGACGGGGGCCCAGGGGGGAAAGAGGTGAGCTGGGAGCAGGAAGTGCCTGTACCAGTGGGACCCCCTCATGTGGGGACTGTGTGAGGGTGGCCGGGGCGGAGGCCACTGCTGCCCGCTTTATGCCACCTGCTGCTCCCCCAAAGGAGCCAGCCTGGTGGCAGCCCTGGGTGAGCTTTGGCAGGGCTGAGGGAGAGTTCTGAAGTGCCCCCTCCCTGCCCGGCAGAGCAGAAGGGGGGGTGCTCAAGTAAGCCGTGGGCAGGGCCTGCGGAGCCGGCACCTAGTTCCACCGTTCCCATGGCAACCAGCTGTCAGGCCCAGTGAGGCTCTGCAGACGCGCACCCCCCCCCGCCCCGTGTCCCCTCCCGGAAGGCCGGGCATGGTGGGCGGGTGGGCATGGTGGGGGGCCATGAAGAACCTCCTGGAGCGCCCTCTGTCTGGGGCCTCAGGGTCTCGGCCCACATCCCTCACCGGCACACAGGGAGTATGTGAGGACACTTGGGACTCAGTTTCCACTTTGGGATGTGCCAGCCCCTTGCTGTGGGAGGGAGGGCGTTAGGGTACAGGACAGGGCCCGTGGCTGGGAGCGACACCCCGCGACTCCACGTGTGCCGTGGCTGCCCGCAGGCCTATGCTCACCTACCGCGTGGACGCTGACAAGGGCTTCAACTTCTCCGTGGGTGACGATGCCTTTGTGTGCCAGAAGAAGAACCACTTCCAGGTCACGGTGTACATCGGCATGCTGGGCGAGCCCAAGTTCGTGAAGACGCCTGAGGGCCTCAAGCCGCTGGACTGCTTCTACCTGAAGCTGCACGGAGTGAAGGCAGGCGTGGCATGGGGTGGAGGGAGGGTGGCGGGAATGCTGGGTCCCCAGAGACCCGTCCTCACCCGCGCCCCACTCTCCGCAGACCCCTCCCACGTCTGCTGCCCCCAGGCCCCTGTACCCCTCTCACCTTGGCCTCCCCTGGAACCTCTCTCTGTGACATCCTCTCCTGGCCCCTGTCCTCCCCTGGACCCCACCTGTGACACAGGAGGTCACAGCCAGCCACCTCCGAGGCCTAGTGCCCTCCTGGCACAGCCATGGCTCCTAGAGGGGCCTTGGGCCCGTTCTTCACCCCAGCCTGCTTGGTACTCCCTCGACCTCTTGGTCCCTTCCACGGCTGCCCTCCTCCCGGCGCCCGTCCCCCAGCCCCTCTACTGTGCTAGGCTGGGGGACGTGGGTGGGAGAGGCCTGCAGAGGGCACAGGGGTGTGGGCATGGTGGAACAAGGGGCAGAGGTGGCCCCCAGGCCTGGCGTGGGTGTTCTCGGAGGTGCGCCCTCGGTGCAGCTGGGAGGTCGGGGGAAGGCCTGTGTGTGGGCTGGGCTCTCTGCGCCTGGGCCAGGCGGGTGGAGGAGGACCAGGTAGGCACTGCCTGAGCGCCCTCCCCACCCCCATGCCCCCAGCTGGAGGCCCTGAACCAGTCCATCAACATCGAGCAGTCGCAGTCGGACCGCAGCAAGCGGCCCTTCAACCCCGTCACGTGAGTGTCCCCGCATCAGGGCCACTCGGCGCTGCGCCCTCGGAGCCCGGTGGCCTCCCCAGCAACTCCTGCCCACTCTGGCCTGGCTGGGCAGCCTCCCTCCTGTCCCAGCACCTGCCCGTCCTCTGCAGGGTCAATCTGCCGCCCGAGCAGGTCACGAAGGTGACTGTGGGGCGCCTGCACTTCAGCGAGACGACGGCCAACAACATGCGCAAGAAGGGCAAGCCCAACCCAGACCAGAGGTGAGGGGGCCC